TAATAATCCGAGCAAATGTAATAGGGACCTCGCACGGTGCTCAGATTTTTTTTTTATTTTTTTTTTTTTCTAAAAAGTAGGCTCAACTGACATGGCCTAAACATACTCGAAAACTCACCAAAATTTACAAACATGTCAGAACCGGTGAAAAATTTCGTATTCTACAAGTTTCACACATGGGCGTGGCAAAATGACTCGCTAGCGCCACCTAGAAAATTGGAAAAGATTAGCCCCTCGTTCACGTTCAACCTACATGTACGAAATTTTCTAGGGATATGTAACATATCAAGACGCACAAAAAAGCCTCAAGAACCCATAGCCTAAAGTCAACAGGAAGTCGGCCATTTTGAATTTTACGGCCATTTTTGGATGATTTACACACTTTGCACTTTAACGAACTCCTCCTAGGGATTTAGTCGGATCGACGTCAAATTTCTGCTGTGCCCTCTAAAGGCATTGACGATGAAAAGTTGTGCTATTTGCGAGTTTTCGTCAATGGGCGTGTCCGTGGCGTCGATGATTCGCTATGAAACAGGAAGTTGTTGTAACTTCAGTGTACATGCTCACATCTGGACCAAACTGTACATCTAGGATGAGAGTCCCGCCCTGAACACATGTACATGCCGACATTCGCCCACAGTCATAGCGCCACCTGCTGGCAACAGAAAGTGACCTTTAACGAAGCAGCCCCCGTTGCACTTTTCACCTACGTGCACAAATTTTCTGTGGTACGTATATCTTGTCCAGACGCACAAAAAAGTCTCTTGGAGCCATAGCCTAAACCCAACAGGAAGTCGGCCATTTTGAATTTTACGTCAAATTTTGGATGATTTACACACTTCGTACTTTAACGAACTCCTCCTAGGGATTTGGTCCGACCGACCTCAAATTTCTGCTGTGCCTTCTAAAGGCATTGAAGATGAAAAGTTGTGCTATTTGCGAGTTTTCGTCAATGGGCGTGTCCGTGGCGTGGCGTCAAATATCAATTCTTCGCCATGACACAGAAGTTGTTGTAACTTCAGTGTACATGCTCACATCTGGACCAAAGTGTACATGTAGGATGAGAGTCCCGCCCTGAACACATGTACATGCCGACGTTCACCCACAGTCATAGCGCCACCTGCTGGCAGAAGGAAGTTACTTTTAACGAAGCAGCCCCCGCCGCACGTTTCACCTACGTGCACGAATTTTCTGTGGTACGTGTACCTTGTCCAGCCGCATAAAAAAGTCTCTTGGAGCGATGCCCTAAAATCAACAGGAAGTCGGCCATTTTGAATTTTACGTCAAATTTTGGATGATTTACACACTTCGTACTTTAACGAACTCCTCCTAGGGATTTAGTCCGACCGACTTCAAATTTGTGCTGTGCCTTCTAAAGGCATTGAAGATGAAAAGTTGTGCTATTTGCGAGTTTTCGTCAATGGGTGTGTCCGTAGCGTGGCGTCAGAGATCAAGTCTTCGCCATGACACAGGAAGTTGTTGTAACTTCAGTGTACATGCTCACATCTGAACCAAACTTTACGTGCTTGATAACTCTCCCACCCCGCTATGGAGGACCGATCCTGACATAGTCAGAAATAAATACAGAAATAAATAAGTGCTCAATAAATAAATAAGCATCCAATTAAATACACAAAAAAATAAAGTAAATAAATAAATGTAGGTAGTAATTAAATTATACAAGGAGACATCAATGTATATTTTAATTAGTGCCTTTAATACACCTTTAATAGTGCCTTTAATAGTATTATTATTATATAATATAATAATAATACCTTTATTTATTAACCTTTGTTATAATTACCTTATTTGTTTATTCAACTTTATTTATTACAAATTTTTTAAATGTATTTATTTATGTGTGTGTTTTAATATTTTTGTCTGTTTTATTCTTCCTTTGTATTTATTTACCTTATTTATTTTCACCCATGGTATTTATTTCTGCCTGTCTTTTTTAAATTTTTGTATGCATTTCTGCCTCATTATGCAAATGAGGAGGGGCTGTGTCTCAAGGGGTCATCTTCTCTGCTATTGGTGGACCAGTCAGACAGGAGAGCTCCTACTCTGCCTGCAGACATCAACGATCTTGCCCCTCACACAGTCAGATGGCTTCCTTCAGTGCGCTGAGGTGTTTAACAACTCTGAAGACAATACTACCAGCAATGTCTTCCTTCTCTTTTCACGTAGACGCACCGACAGACAGTGCTTTCAGTTTGCTGCATGCATGGACACAGAACTGCGGTATAGGGAGAAGCACACGGTCAGCTGGCTGCCGCTAAATCTGGAGTGCACTTGTATTCAATTCTGTATGGTAAATTCAGTTTTAACGGAGCAGAGCGAGCTGACAGGCAGAGTTAGAGACTTTTTCTGTCCGTTTCTCTCTTTACAAAGACGCATGTTGCAGTCAGAGTCTTCTCTGAGATGCGAGCACGACATACAACACAATTTATCAAATTACACATCGGATATACAGTATGAAAATAAGATTGATTGGATTATACTCACAGGAAGTATAAAATCTGTTACATGCGTCTATTAAAAGTAAAGTAACACAAAAATGTCAGGGAAATTACTTTACTTAGATTTCAGGACTGCAGTTGTACATTTGAAATACCTTCCTACCTTTCTGATAGGAAGCCTTCTTGAGGTGGTATAAAACATTTCTTCTTATATTCTGATTTGAGTTGTGGACAACTATGACCACATGAATTAAAAAAACATTTCACTGCCCAAGTCAGCTATAACACAAGTCTTGTTCATCAGACTACATGCTGTACAGTATTTGTCTACAGATTTTGTCCCAGGATTTATTATGCATTTCTTCTTCTTCGTTGCATGATTTAGAATAATAAGGTGAGAAATGGGTCTGTTCTGAGTTCATCCTGTACTGCAGCAGCTAATAAAGTCCATTTAATCCCAAAAACGCTTTTCTTTTAGGCAGGCTGGAGCAGAAAACAACTCACCTTTCTCAAGTTGTACAGTAATGTCACATGTGTATGAAGGTGGATCAAACAAGCTAATCTTAAATGTCAAAGTAGAGAGGAGCCTAGTAGGCCTATTTATTTTCATTCATTACACAATATGAATAAGCTATGCAGACAGTTGTAAAGAAAGAACATCTTTTTCTTCTGTTCTCTACTTGTTATAGTTACACAGTATTAGGGGTGTGGGCTGTATTAAAAGTATCCACTGTTCTCCCATGCTCTAACACACAGTAACGATGAAATGTGTGCTGTTCTCACATTCTTCCTCTGTATGTACACATAAACAACAAGGCAGGGAAATATAAAAGGAATTTATTTTATTGTTTGGGTACATTATTGTTCAGTGTACATGGTCACATCTGAACCAAACTTTACGTGCTTGATAACTGTCCCACCCCGCAGACATCTACACGCCAATACCAATTTATATTCATAGCGGCAAGTGCTATGTAGCTCCACATAGGGGACACAGGACGTGACATATAGCACCTTCATGCGGCGTCGGAACCGCGTAGCAAATTCACAGCCGCGCCGGCAGAGCTCCAGAATATGCAACTCGGCCGGCTCACACCCGGACGCGCTACAAGTGCGAGGGCCCGCCCAACGCTGCTTGCAGCTTTAATATATATATATATTTTTTTTTCTCTCCCTTGACAATAATTATAACTGTACTGTTTAATACTGTTTAGAGTCATCTCAACAGTATTTCTGAAGCAAAATACAATGGGCTTATTACAGTGAAACAGATGTTTTACAGTGTGTGTTGAGTTGTTCAGTTCACCTCAGCCATGTCTGCAACATGTTATTATACAATGTTATGTAATCCTCCCTGTTAGTAGGTAAGGACTCCTGCGCACAGAATGCGAGGAGGTTGTACACAGTGTAATAAGAGGCTTCTTGGGTTAGGCTCCAATCCAGTCTTTACTTGCTTAATGGTAAATGAAGCAAATAAAACGGCTCACTGTGTTAGCTTTAGTTGTGTTGTAACTTTGCAAAACAAGAATTATTATTATGTTGCTGTTCTGAGTTTCATCTAACAGACAAACGACAGCGACCTCCCAGCTTTCTGATATTTTCACTGTGTGATCAAACTACAGAAAGCTCCAAACCCTGAATTTCTACATAGCTGTGTTGGTGGGCATAGCCTGTAATGTGTGATTGATTGACAGCCCATTAGTCAACTTTTTAGCTAAGAGAATGGCGGATTGTCATTACCAGCTTTTGTAGTGTTGAACATTGTAAGCACTGTTACAATGGAAGCATTCCATATTTTTCACTACAGAAATGCAACTATAATGAGCTCATTTCATTGTTCTACCTAAAATACACACACACACCATTATTGTGTTGACTCAACTAAGTGCAGGTAATGTAAAGCAGGTCTTGCTAGAGCTCAGCTGGAGGTGTAACAATATGTACGGAATAAGAAAGATCCTGCATTTGTGTGTTATTTCTGTTTAACATATGCTACTTACAGATAAAGGATGACTCTGTGGTCACGACTGTCACCGGCGCAGGGGCATAAAAAGACAGATTAAGCCATGGTGCTTTGAACAGTTATTTGATGATTGTATTAACACAGTGCATAACGTGAACATGGTTGTATGTGCAGTGGCGTATATTTGGAAATAAATGTGACTGCAGATCGATGTAAGAAAACAGAAAAAGCAAAAGGTGTGGAGATAAAACAGCAGTGTGGGAAAGAGTCAGTAATCGTCTTTGTGGCCAGCAGTCAGCACTGCAGCCTCCTCTATCTTCATCAGTGACACAGCTCTCTAGTTTTCATTCCTCTGAAGTGCCCTTCCAGCTAAAATAGTTGTTGCACACTGCTCCACACCGCACTGGGTGATAAAGAGTCTGAGACTGATACAGCCTCTCATTTTATCTGATCGCCCCAACCCGTACAGTACTGCCATACTTTACCAATTTTACCCTCCAATGCACATGTACAAGAAGAAGTTGCTCAGTGTTCAGCATTTATTAAAAAGACTTTTTGTTTGACCTGTTATTTCTCAGGTTTTGGACCTACCACGACGAGCGCTTCCTCTACATGCTAATGGACTACGTCCCAGGCGGCGAGCTGTTCAGCTACCTACGCAGCCGCGGGCGCTTCAGCAACAACACCGGCCTCTTCTACACCTCTGAGATTGTATGCGCCATCGAGTACCTGCACTCCAAAGAAATCGTCTACCGCGACCTGAAGCCTGAGAACATCCTGCTGGACAGTGAAGGACACATCCGCCTGACCGACTTCGGCTTCGCTAAGAAGCTCTCTGACAGGTGAGTGATATCAGAACCCATTCTGATGACCACAACTGCAGAGTGATTTGGAAGTTAACATGACAGAGGATATGCAATGTAGGAGATACAGATCTGTTCATAAATCATTTACCAGCAAGGACTTTAAGAAGTGATTTTAAAGATGATTTTTTTCAGTTTGAGTTCAGACCGGTCAGTCCCAGTCTGAGAGGCCTGATTGAACAGAAGTGCTCAGCTGGACTTTAAATCCTTACTTGTTTGTGTTCTGGATCTGGAGGGGTCATTTGTAAGCCATTTGTTTATTAAAACTTATAATAACAAAAAGTAACAACAACTTGCTTGTTCGTGGAAACAGGGTGATGATCTGATTTGAACTGAAACAATTAGTCAGTTGATTATGTGCTCTCGCCCTTTCATTACAAATGGTGTCAGAAGTGGGATAGCTTGCCTTGAGGTCACCCTGGGATGGGAGAAGTACGGTTGGCCGATGTGTGTGAGGAGTGGTGTGTGCGCGCTTCCCAAAGGGGAAGGCAGTGTAACAGTGTACTGTCACTACGGTTGAGTATGCGCTGTGACTGCCGTACCAAACCAACAATCCTGGCTCTAAGGCATTGCGGTCCAGTTGCATGTTTGGTTTCCTGTAGACCCGGGTTCGAATCCGGGTAGGTTGACTGCTCTCGCCCTTCGCTGCAGATTTCAGATTCAAATTTGGAAACAGGCTCTTTGCGTTTTATACCTACTAAAAAGACATTTGAAGATGTCATCTGGGCACTAGGAACTTGTGATGAGCATTTTCATTATTTTCTAAACAACTCATGAATTAAATGATAAAGAGATTGATTGATGATAAGATAATAAAATGATTACTCTTTGCAGTCATAAGTCAGAGTCAGACTGGGTGGAAAGGTCTTTTCCGACAATAAGTGACACTCCGCCTGCGTACCCGCTTGGATCCACGAGCTGTCATTGCACTCCACATGTGAAAACACAGGCTGAAAAGTGCTCCGGCAGGCGTTCTATGCGTGGAAACAGCTTCTGTACACTACTGTACCCCTGCCAGTAACTTTAACCGTATGTAGGGTTACCTATCCAGGCTTGTGCTGGTGCTCTGCCATGGGAAAGCTCTCCTGTTTGTCCCGATAGCTGTTATGGTATATAAACAATTATTTATTTCAGGGAACTAAGCCAAGTCATGTTCAAGACTTCAAGACTTAACTCTCTGCGCTGGCGTGTTGCTCCACCTGTCAGATGTCCCACGCCTCCCTACCTGCCCACTTGCCTCTCTCTGAAAAATAAATCACCAGTCATTCGCTCCCCGTCTGAAAATACCATAAACCTTAAAAGTACTTAATGTAATGGTGAACCTAACCGGTAAGATGTTCAGACTTTGTTGGTACTATCTAAATGTTCATTACCACATCTTCTGCCTGAGCCTTTAGTTAAGAGCTTTTCATACAAGGCATACATAATATTCTTCTGTCTGTTAAAGAAATTAGCTTTTATCATTCAGACAGAGGCACATTACATAAATGTGCTTTTATATTCTGTTCAGACGACAGGACATTGTTTAGTAGATAAAGAATCTATCTGCCAGAATAAAGCCTGACAGTGCACATGCATAGAAAACCATTAAACAGGCACTCTCGTTTGCTCACAAGCTTTATGTAAAACATGCACTACTTTTAACTTCCTGTCCTTCACTGTGAGAGGATTTGAGAATTGGCTCAATTGGCTCATTCACATTCATTAAACTGATTTTCTTTGTGCAGAGACATTCTAATGAAGTCATACATGTATTACATGGAAGAAGAAGACGGAAAAAGATGTGCATTTAATCCACATTATCATGCATAACCATCTGTTAATATGACAACATTCAGTTGAAACTAGTCACAGGTGTGACCTCATCAGACTGCTGCTGGGTTACAGGTGATATAACAAGACCAGAAATTTTCAAATGTTTGTAAAAAAGAAAAGAAAAGTGGATACTTGTACATAAAAAAGAGTTTTTGTTGTGTTGTGGGACAGTTCTCTGTGTGGCTGCTGCTGAATGACACTACTCTCACCTCGTGATGTTTAATGCTTGATTGATAGTCAGCTTAAAGTGAATGACAAAGTAGCAGTCTGAGCTCATGCTGTACATTCCCTCACAGGCTGTGTTAGCAAGCTACTCTTAGATTTAGTTTGTGTGTGCACAGTGTGGATTTCCGGATTAAACTTGGAATTGAACTGGGAAGAAACTCTAAGACCTGCAGTAGTCTGGATTTCATCCTGTTCCAGAGCCAAGTACTACCACTTGTATCAGTTTCAGTTTAGGAGAGTAAGACTTTCTCCCTTCTTTAAAAGCTGGAACATGTCAAGAGTTAAAAAAATAAAATAAAATAGTAGAACATTTTACATCTGATGAGAGGAACTAGCTAACTAACTAGGTAGTATGGTCGATATCAATATTGTGATATTAATAAAAAAAAATCTGATTTGTATATTCACTACCAACAGAACTAAGCAAAAAATTCCTTTCTTATGATGGAATTGGGAGTCTGGCAGCAGTTGATCTGATGTGTGGAGGTGTGAAAAGTAAGGGTCTACATTTCTCAGCTGTTTCTCAGGCTCTGACTGAAAGTGTGTGAATTTATTTGTATTGAGTCATTGCGTCAGGACTGCAAAGACACACAAAGACAGAGTTGTTGGAGAAAGGGAGTTTGTTGCAACCTGGAGCAGGGTTTGCATGAGGACATTCAGAACAAGTAGAAACACTCGGACTTAAAACGTGATCACAGCATCTCTTCTTTGGTTGCCTGTACACTTTATTATAGATTTTAAGATTGTTTTTCTCATCTTTAATGCACGTAGCAGGAAGATAGCCAGGAGCCGGCTATCTTTCTGACCAACTAAGCCCCTATGATCCAGAGTGCAGCCTGAGATTGGAGATTAGAGTAGGTCTTTATTGATGATTCCAGTCCTTTGCATTCAGGGCCCCTCACTTCTGGAACGACCTGCCTGACATGGGAATATTTCATGTGCATGTTGTCCAATCAACAATCCAAAAGCCAAAGATATTCTATTGAGCCTAGCCTAGAACCAGTAGAAACACTCTGACTTAAAACGTGATCACAGGGCACTTTTTATGGACTAGCTTCTTTCAAACACACTGAACCCTCAAGCTCTTGCTGTTTGCTGGATGGGTTAGCTGCATTTTATTTTCTCTCTGTATTTAATTAGTTTGGCTCATTACCTCATGACATGATAAACTTTTTAAATAGCAGATGTAGACATTTAACCACTGTGGGCAAATACAGTGTAGAGCAATGGGGGGAAGCCAAAAGCTGCTCATGTCCTGTGTGTGTTCACTGTCCTTGAAAAGCTCATATTTTCTTCTGGGAATTTGAGGAAATCCTCCCAACACAAGAAGTTCCACTGAAGGACAAACTTCCCCCGACTTTAGTCTGAATTAGATATACAGTGAGCGAGGCCTCCCGGCGACCTCAGCAGAATTGAAACGGTGCACTGTAGAGGAGAAGAGACAGCTTTATATCTGCACTGCAGCCTTACTATTTCTCCCAAGCATTTTACCAAGCTCTGCTTTGACCCCCGCTGACATGTAAACATAATGGGGTAAGATTACATTTTCCCCTGGACTTGGAGAGCAAAACAGATGGCGAGTAGATATCTCTCTGATGTGCAAGTGACTCACTTATATAAATGGAGGGCATCAGAATTGCCTGGGATAGGAAGACAACCGCTTCATTGCCACTAGCTCTCTTGTACTTTCCATGTTCAGGATGTGATGGAGCGTCGTCACAGCCTGGTCCTCCCCATGCTGCCACAGTGTCCCCTGCTGGCAGACATTATCATCAGCATGTTTAAACCTGAAGCCCTGCATGAGGACACATGACATGAGGAGCAACAACACGTGTCTGCGTTCCACCATTGCCACTGTTCCCCACGCTTTATTCATCTGACATCAGCAACCTCCTCATCCTGCACCAGGACCAACATCATTTCTATACAAATTACCGTTGTCATGGCAACTGGCCGAAAGAGGTCATTACCCAGGTGATATCTATGACAGGCTATGAAAGGCTGGTGCCGGGCCAAGTGCTCTTCATCAGAGGACAAGTGGCTTTCACAGAGAACACTGTGCATGTTTGTTACGCAGTGTCAATCCGCTGCTCTGTCAGCCAGGAGGATGGAGAGCCAGAGGCAAATAATCTGCTTTAGACTTCCTGTTGTTGTTCACGCTCGCCAGGCATCCTTTACTTACTGTCTAATACTTGGATTAGGACTGGCCCTCATTACACTTTCATCCTGCGGCCGTTCAGCCAGTACTGACGGGCATAAACAGATCTATTACCCCTTGTCCACACAGAGGTCCTATATCCCTCATAGTACTATAAAAGAACACACAGTTGGGTCAGGTGACACAGGTAGATCACATTCCCCAAGGGTGTTGTCTTCCTTGTGACCTGGAGTCTGTTTGTACATACAGTGTGTAGTGTACAGATGTATACAGAGTGAGCAGAGGCTATCACTTATCACCTGTCAAACACACTGACAACTGACAATGTGGAAGCTGCTTTTATTTTTCATAGGCAGAAGGGGGGTCCTAAACATTACATATTAATGTGAGCAACATGCTTTTACAGTGGTGATGCTCTCTAAAAATTGTCCATCTTACCAAGTCTTTTGAAGTGTATGTGTTCCTGGCAGTTTATTGTACTTGCAGGTTTAACTTGCTTGTTTTTAGTTAAGTTAGATTTAAAAATCATTACAAGATAATCAGAGAGCATGCATGTGTGTAGTAAAGTATTGTCAGTCCAGCAAGCACTAAACATGTTTGCACAACCAAATTTCAATCTCTTTTAATTCTATTGATTCATTTTTCAGTATGGTGACTTATTTTTATTTGCTTGACTATGATTGCTGGTGACAGGTTAAAAAGACTCAATCCTGAAGCTTAATGACAATAGAAGGTATGTACTGCCTGAGTCAGTACAGCCTGTCCCAGTTTGGACTGCTTCAGAATGCTGCAGCGACACAACTCACAAGATCCAATATAACCTTCATCATAGCATCTCTTCTTTGGTTGCCTGTACACTTTATTATAGATTTTAAGATTGTTTTTCTCATCTTTAAGGCACGTAGCAGGATGGTTCCTGGCTATCTTTCTGACCAACTAAGCCCCTATGATCCAGAGTGCAGCCTGAGATTGGAGATTAGAGTAGGTCTTTATTGATGATTCCAGTCCTTTGCATTCAGGGCCCCTCACTTCTGGAACGACCTGCCTGACATGGGAATATTTCATGTGCATGTTGTCCAATCAACAATCCAAAAGCCAAAGATATTCTATCGACAGCGATTAAAATAGAGAATCAAGCTAATTCTCACATTGGAGAAACTGCACCCAGGCAATGTTTGCTTTGTGTTTGATAAGTAACTTTAATGATTTATTGATTATCAAAATACATAGTCCTCAACCAATGGATTCATCATCTTATATTTAAGCACAACCTTTAACATGTGGCTCATAGATAGTAGATAAAACCTCATGGAAATAGAGCATATTCTCTCCAAATGTGAGTAAAGGACCTTTAAGCATTGCTGTGTTGTAAACATGTTTGGCCCCTTCTGTCCCTCTCTCTCTGATCAGGACCTGGACTCTGTGTGGCACTCCCGAGTACCTGGCTCCTGAAGTCATCCAAAGCAAAGGTCACGGCCGGGCAGTAGACTGGTGGGCTCTGGGCATCCTCATCTTTGAAATGCTGGCTGGGTAAGTGCTGCAGTGAACAGGATATACCACACTCAACCCATTTAAAACATCGGGGGGGGGGGGGGGGGGCACTCTCCATCTCCAGAGCAAGTGAGGGAAAGTAGCTGTTAAAGAGCATCTAGATTTTAGCCATTTCACAAAAACAAGACACAGTTTATCTACAATGTTGTTGTTGTGTGGATGGTAACAGGGTGAGATCTGCTGCTGTGTGCAACACATCTGAGAAGTTAGCCCTGTCTGACAGATCACAGAAACTCTGCAGAAAGAATTTCTCAACACACACACACACACAAAAACATTCCTCTATGAAGCCCAGACAGTGAAAGCTTTGAGCATCTCTCCACGTGACTGGAATAAACATGATGATCATCTCTGAAAACAACTTGATAGACGCACAGGGGATGGACACATTAACAGGAACACCTGTACACTAGTGATGCAATCCAACATAACAGCCCTGCAAGACAAAGTGAGTGCTGAGAGCAGGGAACTGGAGGAGCCTGTGTACATGGAACAGAGGAATTATCCAATTAATCATACTGCTGTTATTGTCTCAGTGTGGGAAATCTATTCATTGTGTTTATTGGATACTGCAGAGCTGTGACAAATGAATCTGTAAATGGGAACCATTGTTGGAGATGAAAAACAATGACGTTGATCCATTTTAGCACTCTGGTTTATTCTAATGTTTCCCATCGCTCATGATTAATAATTATTGGCAGTGTGGGAGAACAGGCTTCAAGGCTAAGATTGACTTTGTTTCAAGGACACACCATGTGATATTCTGTGACCCAGCATTTCACTCATTGATGTCAGTCAATGAAGAGTTTCAGTTTGTCAGTACTTTGTTTATAAGGTAATGACTAAATACCTTCAGAACCATGCTCAACATGCTCAGGTGGTAGAGCGGGTTGGCCATTAATCGGAAGGTTGGCGGTTCAATCCCGGCTCCCCCAGGCTGCATTTCGAAGTGTTCTTGGGCAAGATACTGAACCCCGAATTGCCCCTGGCGGCTGTTCTGCCAGTGTACGAATGTGTGTGAATATTAGTTTCTGTTTGAGCACTTAGGCTTAGTGTATAAATGTGTGTGAATGGTGAATGCAGATGTAGTGTAAAAGCGCTTTGAGTGGTCAAAAAGACTAGAAAGGCGCTATACAAGTACGGAGCATTTACATTTACATTAGAACTAATGCTATTCCCATCAGCCTCAGCTGGACTTTGTGTTTAGTGCTAATTAACAAATGTTAGTATGCTAACACTTTAAGTGAGCATGGTAAAAATTATACCTGTGAAATATCAGTATGTTTAAACAGTATTTTTGTCCACTTCTTGGAAGCGGATAAAACTGTAAAAACAATATCAAGGTTTCTCGTGTAGACTTTAATTACACAGTGGCTATTTTACAAGCACGAACCAGGGAAAGCAACATTGGACAGTGAACACATCAATGCAGATGTCATTCAGTACCACGTTGGTTTTGATTGTTTCAACAGGCTACGTCTTTATCAAGCCTCCTGCACATGTGGTGCACCTGCTGCTGTGAAAACAAAAAAAAATCCAGAAGAGGAGTTCTGTGTCTTTTAAGTGACTTTATAAAACACCCTGCTGATGGAGAAAGTCAGCAGTGCGGACACATACAAGTAGAGAGAGACAGGAAGAGGCGGGGCACGCTGGTGTGTTTGCAGTAAGAGACCAGAGATGTGTAAGTATGGGGGGAAAAAAGAACTGATGTGAAAAGCAAGGTGAGCAGATTCAAGTAGTGAGTAAACACTAGAACACTAAAATAAGGTGCAAAGGTTAGAATGAAGTAGAATTAAAATGGTGAAATGAGAAATAAGTGAATAGAAATAGTACACAACTATATACAATATGTTTAATAAGAGTGTTTTAAATGATAGTGCAAACAGAAAGACTTGGTTATAGTGGTGATGAGGGTAGTGCAAAAATAGGCTGAAAGACAGAATTATTTGAGGGTCATCACTAAAGCTGTGGTAGGAAAAGCCATGTGAGTGAATAACTGAGCTGAGTGACCTGGTGTAAAGAGAAAAGAAGGGAGTCCACTCTCCAGCCAAGATAGCACACCAGTTACACTTTAAATAGAAATAAATAAAACAGCAGACAGGGAAGACCGCAAAACACACAAGGAATGGACTAAACCCAGCTCAGATAAGGCAGTTGCATTGCTCAGTTACACTGACTTTTAACATGGCTTTACATTGTTCCAAGGGGACTAGATCATTCAATTGTGCTCTGCAGATTATTCCAAGCCCAGGGAGCAAAATAGGAGAAGGCTTTTTCCCCCTGCTCAGTGCAAACCCATGGAACCTAGTAAGCCACCTGGTGGAATGTAGTTGAAGCTGGAGGTCTGTGTCAGGAGATTTTACCCAGCATGACCTTGTAAACAAAAATATAGAAATGAAGTTGTCTGCGTAGACGTAGTGATTGCCAGTCTACCAAAACATGAAGAGTACAATGAGTACGGGAGCCAGAGTTCTAAATTTTAGAGCACTGTGGTACACAGAATGTACAGTGGGTACGGAAAGTATTCAGACCCCTTTAAATTTTTCACTCTTTGTTTCATTGCAGCCATTTTCCAAAAATCAAAAAAGTTCATTTTATTTCTCAGTAATGTACACTCAGCACCCCATCTTGACAGAAAAAAACAGAAATGTAGAAATTTTTGCAAATTTATTAAAAAAGAAAAACTGAAATATCACATGGTCATAAGTATTCAGACCCTTTGCCGTGACACTCATATTTAACTCAGGTGCTGTCTATTTCTTCTGATCATCCTTGAGATGGTTCTACACCTTCATTTGAGTCCAGCTGTGTTTGATTATACTGATTGGACTTGATTAGGAAAGCCACACACCTGTCTATATAAGACCTTACAGCTCACAGTGCATGTCAGAGCAAATGAGAATCATGAGGTCAAAGGAACTGCCTGAAGAGCTCAGAGACAGAATTGTGGCAAGGCACAGATCTGGCCAAGGTTACAAAAAAATTTCTGCTGCACTTAAGGTTCCTAAGAGCACAGTGGCCTCCATAATCTTCAAATGGAAGACGTTTGGGACGACCAGAACCCTTCCTAGAGCTGGCCGTCCGGCCAAACTGAGCTATCGGGGGAGAAGAGCCTTGGTGAGAGAGGTAAAGAAGAACCCAAAGGTCACTGTGGCTGAGCTCCAGAGATGCAGTCGGGAGATGGGAGAAAGTTGTAGTAAGTCAACCATCACTGCAGCAATCCACCAGTCGGGGCTTTATGGCAGAGTGGCCCGACGGAAGCCTCTCCTCAGTGCAAGACACATGAAAGCCCGCATGGAGTTTGCTAAAAAACACCTGAAGGACTCCAAGATGGTGATAAATAAGATCCTCTGGTCTGATGAGACCAAGATAGAACTTTTTGGCCTTAATTCTAAGCAGTATGTGTGGAGAAAACCAGGCACTGCTCATCACCTGTCCAATACAGTCTCAACAGTGAAGCATGGTGGTGGCAGCATCATGCTGTGGGGGTGTTTTTCAGCTGCAGGGACAGGACGACTGGTTGCAATCGAGGGAAAGATGAATGCGGCCAAGTACAGGGATATCCTGGACGAAAACCTTTTCCAGAGTGCTCTGGACCTCAGACAGGGCCGAAGGTTTACCTTCCAACAAGACAATGACCCTAAGCACACCGCTAAAATAACGAAGGAGTGGCTTCACAACAACTCCGTGGCTGTTCTTGAATGGCCCAGCCAGAGCCCTGACTTAAACCCAATTGAGCATCTCTGGAGAGACCTGAAAATGGCTGTCCACCAACGTTTACCATCCAACCTGACAGAACTGGAGAGGATCTGCAAGGAGGAATGGCAGAGGATACCCAAATCCAGATGTGAAAAACTTGTTGCATCTTTCCCAAAACGACTCATTGCTGTATTAGATCAAAAGGGTGCTTCTACTAAATACTGAGCAAAGGGTCTGAATACTTATGACCATGTGATATTTCAGTTTTTCTTTTTTAATAAATTTGCAAACATTTCTACATTTGTTTTTTTTCTGTCAAGATGGGGTGCTGAGTGTACATTACTGAGAAATAAAATGAACTTTTTTGATTTTTGGAAAATGGCTGCAATGAAACAAAGAGTGAAAAATTTAAAGGGGTCTGAATACTTTCCGTACCCACTGTATATCAGTTTTCATCTTGACTTCAGCTGACTACAGAAATATGTTCAGGGAGGGATTATTGATATTGTCTGACAATTTTTAAATAGTAATCTGATTTAGATTTTCTGGTCTCCTGAAAATGGAGCACCTTTCTCCAAGCCTACTGAAAGGTCACCTGCGAGTGAGCCCAGCCTACCCTCCCCCCTACATCAGTTCTATTTATATCCCGGTAAAACAAACTAACAAAAACTTTTGTGGAAGGAATGTGACCTTCTCCCAGCATTCATCAGGGCATGCTTTGAAACGCTGCAGTCCTAGCAGAGACTGGACACACTGCTGCCCTCAGCACATCACCAGACGTGTCCAGGGAGGGGCACTACTGTACCTCTCCAGACAAAGAGCTCTCTTCATCTTGCAGTATTGTGTAGCTGTTCGTCAGAGGTCCTGATCCAAGAATGGAGTGGCTGCTTCTGAAAAGTTAGCTGTGGTAGAGCTTTCTCCTCTGGGGTCAGGACCCCCAAGGGAGGAAGCCAAGAGCTGAAGAAACAGAATTGGTCTTCCCTTCATAAGATGTCTATGAAGATTCTCAGTCATCCAGGTCATAGTTATCCAACGAAGGTTAAAATCAAGGGCAACTGGACTTGGTTGAAGATACTGGAAGACGTTTCGTCCCTCATCCAAAGGACTTCTTCAGTTCTGACTGACTGGCAGGGAAACTCAGCTATTTAACCTCAGTGGGGTCGTTGGCCCGGGTCATCGATACCGCTGGTTCGTTAGTGTTCCTTGTTGCTGTGACGACAGTCGTTACAGTCGTTAAGACTACCTGTGGCCAAGACTGAACGACCATCGTTGGTATCTTC